AACATTCATATCTTGTCTGACATCGCTGTTACAAACTCGGGTCTTCAACTCGGGGTTTCAATTCAATTTGGGAAATTCTTATTTGAAATTTTATTTGGGAAATAACAATTTTATTGAATTTTCAATTTCGATATTTTTCATTTGACTGGTGGAATCCTCACCTGTTGCATTTTTTAATGTCTTCCACTCAATTAAAATTGAACTATTGACGGAAAAATGGCTCTTTTCAAATAAATGTAACGCATGGATCACTTTAACGAAGTGCACTTGGACAATGTTGGTTAAATTTGCCACTTTCTACGGCCAACGTGCACATTACAGCGAAATATACACACATTATGATACATGACATCTAACAGACAAGACCCATGAATATAATCGTGCAAATGACGTCAGTCAACGTCATACATAATATTCAAACGAAAAAACTCTCACACCCACGAATGATGAGAAGCGAATTACTGGAAATGCCCCTGAAATTCGGCGTAAAACTCACCCGATCGGACTGCGCGTGTTTTTTCGAATTCCAGCAGAACTCGAGGATCGCCACGAGAATCGCAAGCGCCAGTCCGCAGAGTAGAACGACGAAGACACCCCCTGAAATAATTATTTCAAAACGAATGATGAAAAAGAAGAATTTAAGATCATTTTCAATTTAAAATCATTAATCGATATTTTTCAGGAAATTGCGAACTATCAATGACTTGAGGGGCATTTTCAAAAAGTTTACCGAACATATCAGTCAAATTAATTGAAATAATGCCCTATTAAAATTTTTTTCCTGAAATTTCAAGGAATTTTGTCGTTGAGAATTGAAAATTTTACGGAAAAATCAATGGAAATTGTAAATTTTAGCTGAATTATTCCGTGAAAATTAAAATCAATCAGGAAAATTCAGGTGAACATTCTTGCATTTACAACAATTTAGAAAAATACGGAAATCGCCCTCCTGAGGATTATAATTCAACTCGCCATGAAATTTCAATTGTCCAACAGTATAACTGAAATGAAAGCAAACTACGAGGAAAAACCATTTTTTGCAATCATCTCTGCAAATACACACCTGAAAATTGAAACCCTCCTGAAAATTCAATATCTCTCTGTAAATATGACGGTAACGTAAACATATATTAATTTCGAATGCAGTGGTTCGTAGCCAGCGGAAGTTTGAAACAGATTTCTTCAATATGTAAACATTTCGTTGGAAATATCATATTTGTCATGGAGGACATCAAGTATAACATACACTGTTGAAGATTTTCGTCTGCAATTTCCGGTACACTTTTTGAAAAATTTTATCGAATTTAATTACCACTGAAATTTCACGCAGTTTCGTCATTGAAAATTCAAAATTTCATGGAAAAATCGAAGAGAACTGTAAATTTCCGATGCCTTTTTCCCTGAAAATGAATTTGAAAACCGGAAAATTGAATGCGATTTAGAGCGAAAAAATCACGAAATTTCAGATTTCTCTGAAAATTCAAATAAATTAAGGAATTCTCGTCTTTACGCTGCCTAAAATTCTGGAATTTCACTGAATTTTCAGTGAAACCTAAAATTTAATGATCTTTCCCCCTAAATCGCATTCAGCGTCGCTGTCCTGAAAACTAGTATTCAACTGTCTTTGAAATTTCATTTTTTTCTTACCAGTGTCCACTAAAAATGAGAGAACATAATAATGACGATGTAGAATAAAAAAAATGACGCATGGGAAGTGGGAATAAAGTGGAACGTCGGTTGGTGGCTCATTACTTTTATGCCTAGGCTGTCCTTTCTTTAATGCCTTTCGGATTTCCGTACCGTCGCGCCCTGGGTGCACAAGTTAAAGAGGACAGCCTTATAATATTCGCGACAAGCCCTTTTGTACGGAAAGTTTAACCGAGGGATGATGCAAAAGGAGCAAGAAGTAATGAAGAAGAAAGAAAGTAAGAAAAATAAGAGAAAGAAAAAAAGAACGAGGAAGAGCCCCGAGGAATCGTGATAGTTAGATCGTGCTGGTAATACCAGATGAACTCAAACCTCCATTCGCTTTTGAAAAAAAGAGAGAACTCCACTTTTTATCAGCCCAAGTTTGATTGAATTAAGACTCGGGGGGAATGCTGATACTCGAGATAAGCCCGGGTAAACAAATATTGTAAATTTATTTGTTGCTATCTGATGCTTTGATCGAATTTTTCTTATTTTCCTCAGCGCCATGGGGAACCTGATATTATTGACAATTTACCGGGTAACACGAGGATCCTGAGAGGCGTTGATAAGCTATCAACAAAGTACACGGTGAATTATTATGCGGTGAAGTAGCTATTCTCCTTGCAATATCAATTTTTCAACGGGCGAATTACTCAATTTGGGGTGATGAAAGGGAGTGGCTGTTCTCGCCTTTCTACGTTATTTTTTCAGAACTGCACTGAGAGGAAAACGACAAAGATCTCAAACAAGTCTTACTTGCGCCTGGAAAACAGTTTTTTTGAAAATTATCAAAAAAGGATTTTTTTTGAGCCAAACACGCAGAGAGTGCGCCGGAGTGAAAAATTTTTGTCGCAAAAATAGATTTAGTAGTTGAAAAAAAATTGCATTCTCTGGACACGCAAGAAATGTCATTTCTAGCACTACTCCTTCATTATTCGATACTCCCATACGTATTAACAATACTTGCTTGACAACGCGTTTGTTTTTCTCTCAGTGTATTGAAATTTCGAAAACAAGATATTTGGAATACAACACGCCAAATGAAATATCTCCGAATCTAAGCGAGATAGCGAAATTTTCGTATAAACCTTTTCTATAGATCTCGATCCGCCCTACAAAAAAGGTTGTGACAAAAATTTCGCTATCTACCTTAAATTCCGAGATATCCGTCAAAGACTGACCGACAGTCAAATTGACTTAAATCGTTTCACCGCTTTGCTGCCGTATTAATGGCTTAAAATTGCGAACACAAACGTGTGACAATAAAAAACGACCCAAAAGTCTCCTAATCTCGAACTACTTGCTCCAGCGCTCGAGCTCTCGCCGATTACTTTCAAATTAAAAAAATGTGATGTTTATTTTCTAAAATGAAAGGCGAGAATGACGTTGTTGTAGACAACAAATCGCGTTGGGTGAGGCTGTCTCGAGGTCAGTGTATCCATATTCAAAGTGCAGTGTATTCCCACCGCGAGAGTTCAGCGAGATGAAACAGTGGTAAGTCACTTCCTTCTGTTTTTTTTTTTAACTCTTCACAATCTCGAGTTATTCCCCAGGCGACGTTACAGTATTGCAACATTGAGTGTCTCCACCATAGATGCAATATCTGCATGTAAATATGTACGATGCACGCAGCTATCTATCTCAGAGAAGCCTCAAGTCCAGGGTGAAACGTAAAAATGTGAATTTCCTGGCGTTTGTTTCATTCCATTTTTTGTTCTTCCTTCGAGATGAAGATGCCATCAAGCAGAGCCTCCAGATGGCCGTTTCCACGAGGATTCGGAGGAAGCCATTCCCCGGGGAATTGTTGAGAAGGAAATTTCAATGAAAAATTCACGATTATTTTTTTTTCGATTTCTGCTCCTGGGATTTTTAGAGGTCTTCGTTTCTCTCGTTTTTGCCACTTTTCGGTGACTTCGTGGAGGCGAATCGGGGTTTCGACTTTGGCGTTCAACTTCTGCTCCATGTTTCTCTTCTGGCAGTGATGATACTTGACGCTTTCTCAGGGTGAAGGGTTCTCCCTGGAAAAGTGGGTTATTGTCGGCGGTGGAGGGGAGATTTCCTTTGTGGTAACACTTGGACGGGGGTAAATGAGTGGTCTGGATTTTACAGGTTTGTAGGAATGTCAACATGTCTCGGAATTTCTGACTCACATCTGCAGGTTTAGGATAGTTATTCGAATGGCGCTGGCTAAACTTCACTGGTCGAATTTATTTTTCATTATTTTTAACGAAGATTCACAGCCAATTGTCATTTCAATTGCTTTATTCCGTTTGGAATATTTGATTCTCATTTGGGAAATCATTCGAAGGCTATTGCATGATTTTGTTGTGTGACTCTTCGAGCATTTTATGGAGAACTCAACGGAACTTAAATATTCATATTTCGATTAAAAATTTAATTTACTTGCGGAATTCTCTTCCTGACGTTATAAAATTTGTAATTTCATTGAACTCCGAAGTCTCAAATTAACTGAATTATTTTCTCTAACTCAAATTCCCTCTCCCGAAACTCACTAGTCAACAGTCCTTGAAAATTCCACTTTTCTCCAACAGTACACATGAAAAACACTTCTCCCCATTCTCATGTAAATGAGTTCGCTGAGTAAATCTCCCTCGCCCGATATAATTCAACGAATAATTAGGATTAAATGAAAGTCACATGTACCTCAGTGATACAGTCTGGCTCTCTAAGCCCGACATACACCTCCAGCATTTGATTTAATATTACAAGACCCAATTTATCGCCGGAAGATGTACCCCAAAACTTGACACTGGAGTTTCCACTTATCGTTCACGATAGACCGGCGAGACGAGGCGACTAAGAATCCAGCACTGAACACGAGGATTTGCATAATTCCCTTGAGTGGATGGGGCCGGGAGGGGGGGGGGGAGAGATGGGGTGGAAGAACCCAGCGTTATTCAGGTACAACTGCAGGCGGGACCTCGGAAACCAGAACTTTGACTCTGAGACACGTTGGACAAACTTTTACACTGCAATTCATTATCCCGGCTCTCACCTCGCCGTTAAATGAGCTGATAAATTTTCCCCCCGCATTTTTACAATCACAGAATTACTTGATAATTACGTGCAATTTAATTTGAAGAGCGTAATGGGGCTGAAGTAATTCCGTTTGTGGGTTATCCTGTCTCTTCGTGTGTTTCTGTTTGTGGTGCGTTAATGATTCAGAAGTTTTCGGGGGGGGTATCAAAGTATCGTTGGCCTCGTGCGGAGTTGAATTTATTCACGCTGTTGAGCAAAATTGTAATATTATCTGGTTAACGCTTCAGAAATTATTCGGGGCATTGTGCGCTCGGAGAAGTGATGCTTTTGAATTCAGTGGAAAGGGTTTGTTTGAATTTTTTTGGGAATTGATTTGATAATTTTTTTAATGGAAATGGTAAAATGGACAATTTCCAGTTTTTTTTTTGAATTCAGTAGCGAAGCGGTAAACCGGGTCAAGTCGACTTAGCTCTTCGCTGAGTTTTCGAGGAATATCTCCGAATCTAAGAGAAATAGCGAAATTGTCATTATAACCTTTTTTGTAGAGCGAATTAAGAGCTACAAAAAAGGTTATTACACAAACATAACTATCTTCCTTAGATTCCGAGATATTCGTTAAAAACTGACCAATAGTCTAAATCGACTTAAACTGGTTTACCGCTTCGCTACAGAATTCGTACGTCAGAAACGAATTTTTCAATTGAAGTCAGTCTAGGATTACCATGAGACGGAGCATTAATAATTCAATATGGCATTGACATTTCACGAGAAGGTGAAAGGTTCATTTTATGTCACTCTCCGTGGATTTTAGTTGATGAAAATTGAAATAAATTATGAAATTCCAGTGCATATATTTTTCAATTCTTCATTAATTCAGAATTTCGTGTAGTTTGGTACTGAATACTCATATTTTGAGTAAAAATTTAAGTAATTTGAGGAATTTGCGTCTTCCTGCTGTTCAAAAATGTAGAATTTCAATTAATTCTGAGGCAAAATCTGAAATTTCATTTTTACCCACAATATTTTTGTACAAAAACACATCCAAAAATTGAAATAATCAAATATCAACTTCATACCCAAGACTTCTGAATAGAATGCCAACTTCCCCCCCCCCCCCCCCCC